TTGGAAATCAGAAATCCTTTATTTGTCCCACTGCTGGGAATCTACATTGTTACAAATAAAATGGGTATAGTTACCATATTGAACATAGAGGTAAACACATGTTAAACAAATTGGTTGGGAGATTGGACAGGGGAATGATGAGTGCTGAGACAATATAAAGTCTGAGCATAAGGTAGCAGTTTGGTTGGGTCTCAGAGATGGAGACAGACCTCAGGCTTGAGCCACGCTGCCACCAGAATACCACATAAGCTTGATGCTCTTTCTTTTTTTTAGCGCATGCTTTTCAGGTTGCAATGCTCTATTAGACAAAATGTCCATCTGCCAATATATTCTGAATGCACTATGAGGTTGTTAACATGCCCTTGGCAAAAAGGGTTTAGCTCTATGGGGCAACATTTCCATAAATCGTGACAGAGGCAGTTTTATTGCAGGTAGTAAATAAAAGCTCCTGCCATATTTTATGACAGCCATCACTAACTCATTCTGATTCTTATTACCTCTCTGTTCTTTGACTTGCGGGACCATTCACAGACGCATTCTGTGCCCAAGTTTATGCCGTCTAAAGGATTGATTGTAAAATAATTTATTCCGGATGTAATTGCCCCTTCAGCTTGCGCCACACCTTTGAGTTCAATTGCTGTTTTCTTGTACATTAGTACAAACGCAGCCTCTTTCTGAATGGTTTCATATAACATTTACATATGGATGCCTGTACAGACAATTTGAGTGAAGAGCTGTTTAGTACAGCATGTTATGGAGGTGCAGAACACAATCCATTTTTGATGAGTTTACAAAATGAAATCATCCATATTGAGTTTGAAGGGAGCACCCACATTTTCTTTTCAAAGCACAGACAATGAGGACATCTAAATGATTTAATTGCAAATCATTGACCAGTTTATTGTATCGGGATATTTGCTAATGTATTTTTTTGATTAAGAATTGGCATAAACTTTTATATGAAATCCAATTGCAGTACATTTATTAATTGACATTGCTCGACAAGCTGTTATGATTTCCATTTTCCACATTGATCAGTCATCTGACCGATAAGCCTGGCACATATGTCACAGCAATCATATTTACTAATCGTTTTCCACAAGCGCTGCTCTTTTCCAGCCTGGCTTGTTTACTTATTTGAATTGGCTGACAGTCGTAATCTGCTTATGATCTTTTGCATTTGGTTGCCAGGAGCCATACTGGGAGTAATGCTCCATTCAATTATGTTCCTTTGTTGACCATAATCTGTACATTTTACAGTGAAAGAACTTAGAACTTAAAGACAAACAAACGGACTGGCGTGGATATCCTAGTTTTTAATATTTTTGCAAAGCCAACATTGGTAAAGAAATCAGGGAAACTAAATAAAGGCCCCACCACTGAATCTTTGGTTGAATCTGGCTGTGTCTCTGATTCTGATTATAATTTGATCTTTAATCATAATAATAATTACCCAGAGGTTGGCATTGCAGGAGAAATTAAAATGTTACCATTGCCCTGAACAATGATTTCAGGAGAGACAAACAACCAAATATGTTCCATTATAGACTTCCAAACTACACCCCTGTCCTGTACTGGGACACACATGGGCGGAGTGAATGGGGATGGATGGTTGGATTAGGAATGCCGGGAGCGAATAGATTATCCAGTATCTGGGCAGGCAGATGCGCAGAGGAGAAAACGACTACACAAAGAGCCAGATCTCCATCAGGGGATCAATTCATGGTTGCTCGCTCTGTCACTAACTCTAAAAAAGCAAATTTCATGGTGTGTTTTCAAGAAGCCGGCATCGGAAAAACATCAAAATGAAACTTTCTCTGTCTTTCTCTCCTCTTTCTACTCCTCTTTTATTCCTCCTTCACTCTTTAGCTCTTCATTATACCCTCACTTATTCTCTATTTCTGGGTTCAGTTGTAAGAAGTGCAAATGTATTTTTTCGCACTCAAGAGACACATGAACGCACACATGCTGTAACCTATATTTGCTGAGTATGGTGAATGCCTATGTGTACATTTTTTAAGAGGTTTAGCCAGCCGGAGCTGGAATGAACGTTGCTGTTGGCTGAGTTTCTCTGCCTGGGGCCCCTTGCTTCGCTCCCCCATTTTGCCCAGTAGAGCTTCATCCTTATCGCTGTCCTGCACCCCATCCCTGCTGAAGCTGGGCTCCTCTCCTGCTTGACCACATTTATCCAGGGGCCTCTTGTCTGGGGGTGATAAGCTGTCAGACTTACCAGTATGATGTAGCGGTTCCCATACCCCCTCCACTTCACTCCTCCCTACTCTGTTTACTCCCTCTACAGTAGTAGATGCTGTTTTGGTGACTACACCAACAATACTTCTGTGCATTTGTCTATACATCTGCCATGACTATCACACACTGAACAGGTTCCCCTCTTATCCCGCTTATTCCCTCTTCTCCTTCCCCCTTCTGTTTCTCAGTACTGAATTAAAGAGGCAGAAAGTATTTTGAAGCAAAAACAACTTTGAATGGTTAGTGTAATGGGCTCAAAGGGACCTTAGACAAAGACACTGTGAATGCTAATTCTAGTTACAATTCACCAGATTTGTCTGTGTGAACTCATTTTACACAAGTGGCAACAGACATCAAAGTCCATCCCTTTTATCCAATGATGACACACGGGCGAGTTTTTTTTGGAACATCTGTGCTGTTTTTCTGTCACTGAACTTTGTACTAAAAACTTCTTCCACATACAGTAATTGTTCGTATATGTGCTATCAATTTATGCGTTGTTTCAATCAGCTGTTGTTGATGCACACTTTTTTTCTAGATAGAGGAGTTTGACCTTCTTAGTTGTAAATTCAAACTGTGCAAGAGCTTGAAAAATACTACTGCCATAATGGCAACAATTGTTATTTTCAAGGTCCTCGATCTACACGCGTGGCTTATGAAGGAGCACAGCCATGTGACACAGACTGTAACAAGCTGTCACCGTAGACCACTTACTATTTAGCACAGGCTGTAGCACAAGCTGTAGCAGACGCTCCATGTATTTTCAGGTTGTCCTCTACTAACCACTTGCATCTAAGCTACAGTATGTGGTGCCTTGCCAGCATCATTTAAATTTGGAGCCTAAGGTACCACACCAGGCTCTTTATGTGCAAAAAGAATAATCTCTGAGTATTACTGTTCAACACAAAAAGCTACAGGCTACTGATGAGAAACTCCTACTTAGGAATAGACAAGATACACTGTAACATTAGGGTCTGGATTTACCTAGTCTGGTGAAACATAGCTTTGTAATTTTATAACTCAATTAACAGGGGACTGTCATATTTAGAGTTATGTTCTGCAGCTTTGGTGTAATAGCCCAGAGAGAAGCAAACATTGCGCTTGTTTATCTGTCATCGCAAATCTGTATTGCCAACAGATGCTCCTGCTGGTTTCTTGGACAAAATACACTTCTTATTCCTCATGTTCAGAAGCATAATTATAGTTCCTGGTGTTGTTGCAGGTTGTCTTGAATGGAAAGAGAGATAACATAATGCAAGAGGAGAATGGAGGTGTGGGGAGCAGTTGCAGGCAGGAAATGAGTGAGATTATGTACGGATTTAAGATATTAATTTGCAGTGTGTATGCAAAATGATGGACTTGATAATGGATTTCCTTAAAGGCTATAATTACGACATTAAAGCCATGGTGTGTGCACGAGACCGCCTGTTCATAATCCCGCCTGTGATGTACCTGCTTTATGAACTTGGGAGCATAACGACCTTGGAGCTTCGTCAGAGAACTGTGGCTGGTGTCTTGATAAACAATATGCCTTGCATCCAAAAGACTCAATCTACATCACGGCTGTTCTTTGAATGCTTATCATTTTTTACCATTTAAATGTTGGCTCTGTTTTTTTGGAAAAGTTGAGATTTCCCACAGTTTTTAACATGTTATGCAATTTTATTTTCCATTGGAGCATTGCCACAGGGAGAATGTGTTAGTTCAATAACTTGCCTTACACTGATGAGAAATTATTACTAGTTACTAGTTACTTAAGTAATACAATTACTTGACAAAATGCAGCATGATCAAAGTTATGTTTAATACATTGGCAGATTCATTAATACTAAAGACAATCATGGGGATAGAAGATGGCAAGTCAAGTATAATACTTTCGTTGTAAATGGCATATGGTGTGTGATCCACAGATATCAATTAGAGCACAAATATTTCGGTTCAAACTCAGAAAGCAACATCAAATCACATTGTACATTTTTAGATGTACACTGTGGTTATACATACTTGGACAAGACATGCTCTGTCATCATGTTACCTTTAAAAATGTGGTAGTTTCAAATTCATGTTCCAAGAATGTTTTTGTTTGACTTTCTGTGCTCTGGATATGTTGTACAGTTTTGGGAGCTGTAACAGCAAAGGGGATGGGTCAGGAGGGGAGGACTCTCCAATTTCCCCACCAGAGTGCTCCTTTCTGATCTCCTACTCTCTTTTTCCCTGCCCTGTCTTTCTCCTTTCATCCATGCTCCATTGCCCCCAGTCAAGCCGGGCTCTTTGGCAAGTGTGATGCAATCTCCACGCAAATGTCTTCCAGATAAAGGCATCTCTACAAAGAAGTATCTTGTCTTTTCTCTGCCCCTTTGCTCACCTGGTATTCTTACTTGCCTGTTTGTTGGTTTACACTAAAGACAGCCTCAGTCCAACACACCCCTGAAGGAATCGTTCTAGAGTGCTCCCACCTCTCGTCTCTTCCACGATGTGATGCTCTGAGCTAAAGACAGAGCGCAGAGGATTGAATTCCCTCTGAAACCCAGAGTGAGGAGTGCAGGGAATAATTCAGCAGCCGCTCCAGCACTAGCAGCATCAGCATCAACAGCGGTGGCAGCAGTGAGCGTGAGAGAGACGGAGAGAGAGGGAGTGTGTGTGTGTGTGTGTGTGTGTGGAGAGCTTTAGTGAGAGCGAGTTCCTATGCACTGTGCTGAGAGAAGCTGAGCTGTGCCGTCGCGTGGCAAGCTGTGTGTTCCTGTTCCTGCGCGCTCTGGTGAGGCAGAGCTTACAGAAGGGGAGAGATGCGGCTTCGCTCGGAGCTCCAGCATCAGTGAAGATCAGCACCCAGCCGGGGCATCTCAGAGCAGCATGGTAGGACTAGAGACCCACTGCTGACACCAGCGTGACTGATGATGACAGCCCACGCGTGGGTTACCATGCGCCACAGCCGCGCCGCTCTAGGAGGAAACACAGCCATGTGAAAGTGACTCGAACGCCAGCAACTCTTGGACATGTTTTCCAGGGCAAAGTCTGGATTTCTTTCTGTGTTTGAACTTGTTTTTTTTCTCTTGGTATTGATCGGCTGTCCCGCACTCACCTATCAGGCAAGGACTAAAGGCAGATGGAACAAGGGGGGTAAGTGATGATGAACTCTGATCTAAATGTTTAGTTTTTGCACCTGTATTGTATCAGTATGCTTTCAAAAGGGTTTCAGGTGATCTTGGGTCGGACGCTGTTTAAATTAACCATCCTCATCACAGACTGACCTTTCCTTGTAACACTTTTTGATATGGATGTTTGGTGCCATCATTAGATATTGTGAACATCTGGACTTATACATAATTGTTGTTCTTCTGGTATACTTGGTATTGTCTTTTCAATTATAACTGACTGTCAGCTGAGAAAGTTGACCTCTTTTTTTTTGTGGGTTAAAGTGATGACCACTGCTGTTTGCTGTGCTGTATGGTTTTGTCCAACTTTTCAGTGGTAGCCAATGTAAAGCTTTCCAACAATATATGCACATAAGGTATATTAATACACACACACACACACACACACACACACACACACACACACACACACACACACACACACACACACACACACACACACACACACACACACACACACGACACACACACACACACACACACACACACACACACACATATACACGCGCACACACACACTCACCCTCTCTGTGTGGCAGAGTGTTTTGATGGAGATCACATTGGTCCGTGTGTCCTGGAATGTTTGGTTGGCAGGACATTCCAGCAGTGTTTCAGAACTGTGTTATTTGGTTTAAAGACTTAGATCACCAGTCTCGAGGAGGGGTGTTAATAATTCATCTCAGCCCCTCCGTGGGAGCGGTCCTCTCGCCCCTCTTGTAGCATTTAATCCCCTTTGTCGGATTAAAGGAACCTCTAATCTTGGTGCTAGTTCTCAGTGAGAAGGCTGAGAGATGCTCCCCGTAGCACATCGGCAGTGGTAGCACTGGGGGCTCACGCTCAGTGGGACGTGTGTGTCTTCAAAGAGGCAGTGTCACCACCGTGATCTATTTAATGATTCCTTGCCACTTTGCTTTCGCTCTTGTTCTGCTTCACTCGTTCTCTACTTAACATTTCTTCAAATGCATATTTCTAGCACCCCCTCTTGTGCCGTGTCCGCGCACTTCTCGCCGACAAGCATCATTACATCTCAGAAGTTTTCACTTAATGATTGGGACCATGCTCTCAGATTTGTTACACACCCTCCACTATTGGATAATGAAAGCATTTCTCTTTTGATGTCTAGTTCTTCTCTTACTTTAATCAGTTCATATGTGCATAAATTGCTACAGTGAACATAAGAAATAGGTCGTACAAATTGACGTTCATTACATTTTTTTCGCCGGATATTGGTCTGTCAATGTTACAACAATTCTGATAAAAGGAACATTTTCAGATAGAACGAAAATAAAGTTTCATTCTACCAGAGCTTTCAAAAGCGAGATGTATTTTCAGACCAATTTCTTTGAATCACTTGAAATGACGGGTCAAATGTGTTCAAGGTTGCAATTTGTTTGCTGCAAATATGAATCAGCAATCTGTAAACCTAGGGTAAAAGCACAGTATGAAATCCTCGTGATAACTGGCCTCTGGTGAAATGGAGGGCACTGAACCTCCGTGTAATTAGACTATAAACTCCATTCCTATCTGTGCACAGTTGAACAAATCATACCACAGCTTTACTCTACCTTGCACGTTTAAATAACATTTTGAGACTTGTTAGAAAATACTTATATTAGCGTAACAAAGATAAGATCCTTGTGTAGTTGACGAATGTTTATGGAGGAGTTGTCATAACCCTAACCCTATAGAAGAGGTTGGATGGGATTGGCTATTTTACCATTCTTTTGTGCGCCTACATCGTGTCATCGGTTTTTCTTACAAGCAGTAATTTTCATTGACTGTAAATTGCCGTTCATAATCACATTTAGCACCATGCTTTTCACGCTTGTCATCTGCCACTTCATAGTGTTAGCTAAATTATCAATATTTTCCCTGCTGTTACTTTGCTTTTATATATGTAAGAACACAGCGGAGGTTTGCACACAGAATGCATGGCTATACACCGTCTCATTCACTTATTAGAAGTTACATGGCTGAGCTTTACATCCAGTACTTAAACACCACTAAAACATGGCTGAGTGACACATTTCGTATTGAAATTTTAATAACTTTTACAATTATAACCTTTCTCAAACTGTACAATGTTTGGAGGTCACCTATAAGCGGAACAATCACTATTTTATACAATGTAATTTTTGCCAAAATCTATCTTTTGAAGGTCAAACACTCACCAAGTTGGAATTTAGCTCTCTCTCAAAGCACAGCAAGTCAGGTCATTTTGGTATTTTGTCAGTCACAGTAGATTCAACTTGACCTGGTGGAAACATATAAAAAATATCTAGAGAAAGGTGTCATAACCACAATCCTGTGTCCTGCTACCTTCTTCAAAGCTCTACAGGTATAAATGTTCACAGCTCCTGCACCTGTCCAGCCTGCAGGGGGGATAGATCTCACGAGAGTTCGGGAAGATTTTAATGGTGGATGTTGAAGGACAATAGGTCAAAAGAGGACTATTTCACACAGTAATGCATTTGTACAAATATAAACATTGATTATTGTATAGGATATAATAAATAAATAAAACAATTGACAATTGTTTAACTTTGCTTTTATGATTGCTTAATGTTAAACTACAAGACTTTCAGTTTTTTGCAGAGTGAAATAAGGAAGATTAAGAAATACTATTTCAATTTGAAGATGTTTCTCATCTTAAAAAAAACACATGATATTCTGTAAAATGCACAAAAGGGATAATTGTATGGTAAGGAATCAACTTTTTAAACTTTATGGACACGTTATTTATGGTTCAGTATGAACTTTGTTTTACTTTGACTTTCAGCCATTCTTGCGTAGCCTGATGTTGATATGACTGTGGATTGAGAAATGAACACAAGGTGTCCAGGCAGTGGTATACTGAACATTGTTTATTGTCTCTCGATATCTGTAGAGGAGCACTATTTCAGAAGGTCTTGTGATCAAGAAACAACCCATTTGCTTACTTCCTATGAGTGATGTATGACATCACCCACAATCCCAAATATTACTGTTCCTTTATATTCTTGTACCACCCTGCAGAGAGAGCCTCCGTAACTAATATCACACAGGCGTCCAGATCGGGGCCAGCAGAGATTGAAGTGAGCCTGGCAATAAGTGTTAAATCCAATTGGATGTATTACGATCCCACCAAACTACAATACACGGTAATGTGAAAGAAGAAGCAGGTGGAGAGAAGCCTGGATGTGCTCTTTCAGACCTCTGAAGACAAACGATATGGGGGCTAGCCCCGGTTAAAAAAATGGGGTCATTTTTCGTTATGTTCTCAAAAACTGATTTACTAAACAGGGGCCTGCAGAGGCAGTCAGTGAAAGAGTAATGGTGAAAAGAAGTGACCAACACCTATTACAGAAATACCGCTTACACCCCTCTATCTGCCACAGCCGAGAGTATCTGACCGTCTGCGATGGGAGTGAGAGAGTATGAGATTTATAGACCAGCAGGGGAGAGCAGGAATTAATATTACCACTTCCTTCTCACACAGGGATCGTGTAGCCTACTACAGATCAACAGCTCAAATTGCTTTCTGCATTACAGCTTCTGCATGTACTCATCAACTGAACAACCATTGAGTACTATCCAAGGTTGAACTACATTTATTCAGGCTGTCTTCATTATAACTGAAATTGCAAATAATTAAAATCGCTTTTTAATGATCGACTTAATTAAAATACTGACCACACTCATTTTGAGAGACTTGTATTGCTAAGGTATAAATCAATAAAACATGGCAAGAAACACAAGCAGTCAGATGATCATGCAGGTTAGAAGAGAAGAGGAGGAAACACATTTAAACGTTAAAATAGTAACCCTAACTGTCTTTTGTAAATATCTATTGCAGTTTAAACACCACTTATCCAGATAACTTTTCAAACTGCTTTAATGTATTTAGTTGTCTACTTTTACGATGACATAAGGGATTCTTTTCACAGATTACAGTTACAGATGTGCTTCACTTCACATTTAAACCTCTAAACATGTCGTAGATTATGGCTTAACTCTCCTGTTGCTTGTTTGTGTTGCTTTGGACTTCTTTACTTTGTTGCTGCATTTTCAGCTACTTTGAATGAGACCATAGATTAAATCAACTGAAATTAGTCTTTTAAAGCTTGCAATTAATAGTTAAATCTCCAGTGCTCTACACGTTGAGTCATGTCATTATCTAATTGAATCAATGCCTTGGCAGCTTTTTTAATTAAGTCCCGTAGCATTGAGATTTTGAGGTTGTCTTTTATTTGAGTTTTTACGAGTCTTCTCTTTAGTTCTTTGAATGGATTTTGTCCCTAACATGCCACTCATGCCCTGCCCTAGCAGAAAGGCATAACTTGCTGCAGGGCCAGAAATATTATACAAACTAATGGGGGGAAATTAGGCACCAGCCTGACACAATAATTAAATCACTGTCATTACTTCAATTAATATGTTTTGACTAGTGTCTTGGGGCAGGGAACACAGTGATGGCTGTCATAGGGAAGGGGAAAGTCACTGTCTATCTGTTCCTGTTTCACTTGTTGAGAACTGTGAGAACCCTTTTCAACATCCTGTGTATGCTAATGTCAAAATGTAGGCCACATTTTCAATTCTACCAAACACGTGATTTTCTCTAAACATAATGTTTACAAGACAGTCAGCAAGTACATCTTTAATGAAGCAGACTTTGCTCCCTCATAATTACTCAATCATGATGAAAAAGGCTAGAAAGGCAGAAAATATGCCTGCTGTTCCTCGTTCAATCCAATTAGATCATTAAGCTTTTTGCCGCTGCTAGTTGGGAATAATCACTTTCTCAAATATACTTGCTTTAATTGTGTACGCCTACATGTTGTTTGGAATAAATGTAATGTGTACAAGCTGAAAAGTGGGGGCGAGATTACAGATAGTGGTAACAGGATTGACTCATCATTAGGTATATGTTGTTGCTAACCTATCAATCTAAAGCAGCAGATGGCTGTTATCAAATCATGTCCAGTA